TTTGGATTGGGAGCTCAGCCAGTGTTGGTGGTGTCTGGATCACTGTGCAGCTTCTGGAGAGAGGGAAGGTGAAAAAGTGTGGAATGGGCAGAAAAAGAAAAAGTGTCTTTTGCAGGTGTCTCCTCTGCAGAAGTGGAGTCAGAACATGATTTAGCAGATGAAGCTATAGCATATCCCAGACTCTGAAGTCAAGTCAGTCCAGCTCTTACCGATCATGTATGTCAGGAGTACTAGGAGATAAATACTGCAAACATTACGTAACTCTCTAAATATGCATTCTTCAGAGAATCAGTGATTGCCATTGTGTTGGGTTCTTTGCTTTTCGAGGACTACAAGATCATCTTGCAGACACTAAACCAAACCATTAAACTAAACACAAAAAAAAAAAAACAACTGCTAATTTTGTATTTTTCAAGTTCTCTACAGAGTCTCCATTTCCTGCAAAGACAGAAAATCCATTTTATTTTCAAACAAATGAAATCCAAAGTCAAATCTTTATCTGAGGAATGACCCACTCAAATAAAATGCCACACAGCTGGTAAAACTGGTTGCTTTGAAACATGCTGTATCAGCAAACCGGGCAGCTGATAAGAATAATAAGAATTTTTAGTCAGTAAGATAAGAAAATTCTCATCTGAGCCTCCTCCTGCCAGCACATAAATTGCTAATATTACCTGGCACTGCTGCCAGAGTTACGAATTTGCATTGAAATTTCACTGTACGGGAGAAGCACCCTAGATGAAGCAAAGCTAAAAGCAATTTCACTGCCATAAACAGGGAACAGATGAGGTTTATGGAAAGATGAGAGCCTGGCTATTGACTTGGGATTCCCTCTGGGTCATAGAGGGAAGAGCATTATGTCCCATAATGCAATGAATTTTATGACCAGGACTTTGAACTTTGGAATAACTTTTAAAAAGTGGAGGCTGGTTACAAAAAGTTCATTTCAAGCTTTACTCTTTTATGATCTAGTACTGCAGGAAGAGTTCAAGAGTTAATTTATTTGCCCAGGACACTGTCCACTGTGAGGAGCCCAGTCTCAAATACCCTTAAAAGTCCTTAAAAGGATCAGTAAAATTCAGTTATGAATGATCCTGGAAAACTATCAATCCTTCAGTTTTACAGAGTTCCTATGAAAATAATAGAGCACAGGAAGGGTTTTGCTTAAATTAATGTGTGCCTCCTGAGCCTGTGCATGTGTGCAAAGTGTTGCATGAAAAATTCAGCAATTCCTTAACAAAACAAAACAAAACAAAAATAAGAAAAAAATAAAGAAAAGACAAGAAAGAGAAAGAAAAGAGAAAAGAAAAGAAAGAAAAGAGAAAAGAAAAGAAACAAAGAAAAGAAAAAGAAAAGAAAAGAAAAGAAAAGAAAAGAAAAGAAAAGAAAAGAAAAGAAAAGAAAAGAAAAGAAAAGAAAAGAAGAAAAGAAAAGAAAAGAAAAGAAAAGAAAAGAAAAGAAAAGAAAAGAAAAGAAAAGAAAAGAAAAGAAAAGAAAAGAAAAGAAAAGAAAAGAAAAGAAAAGAAAAGAAAAGAAAAGAAAAAAAGAAAAGAAGAAAAGAAATTTGTTAACAAGCAGAAATTTGACACAACTGATTTGGAGAAACTGATTTTCTGCTTTATCCAGACTTTTTGACCTGTTCTTAATTTCCTTTGTTGCTTTCTTTCTCAATCATAGTTGAAAGAAATATATAACTAAGTTGTCTTCTGTTTTTACCTATAAATGCCTACAAATTTCTACTATGTTTATATATTGGTATCTTCAGGCTGAAAAGCAAGATAAATCTGAAGACAAAATCAGTGTATCAGAGTAAACCTCAGTACCCCAGGGACTGGATAAAACAGAGAAATGTACAACAGAACAGGTCTTGTTTTTCAAATGCTTTGCCAAATACTTTCGTGCTGAGGACCTGATCATTGAAGATTCTAAAGAGCTGCTGGATGGCCTGAACGCTTCCCAGTGTCCCACCAGGATTGCCCCAGTGGTGCTTGGCTTCTTGCAAAAGAGGACCCCAGTGGCAGTTCAGAGTTTGCATACAACTCACTAAGCATTGAAAGATCCTCTGGCTTAGATTTCTAATGCCTGAATGATTTATGGGCAGAAACTAGGTCTACAGCAAATTCATAATTGATGCATCTTGTTTGATATGCAGTCTAACAAAAGAAAAAAAAGGACTGAAAATATGCTTGATTTGTTGCCTGTTATAATTTGGAAGAAGACACATCCAAAAGACTGTCATGTTTCTAGAAGATTTGTGTTCTAACCCGTTCATACTTTTATCTAGAGAAAAAAGAAAGCCAAACTATTCCATTGCAGCCTGGTGATACGCGCACCCCAGGCAGAGCAGAAATACAGGACACATGAAATCGCTTTGATTTGGTTACTTCTAAACAAAGTAAATCAAATTTAGTTGCTTATAGAGAATGAGACAGACTTGTTTTTCTGTCCTCTCCATCACTGCCTTAATCCCTAATATGACCAGGTGGGTACAGCAATAACTGTGGCTCCTCAACCTGATGAAAATAGTGTTGCATTCAGAAACTCAATAAATGAATGGGAGGGACAAGTAATGCTTCCCCCCCCAAGGATGTTTTGTTAATTAAATTAGCATTTAAATAGCCAGAGCTAATCTGGGAAGTCAGCCCCTCATTACAGTAACTAGGAAGGGGGAAAAGAGCCGGAGACAATTCCCTACAAGATGGGGTTAAGTTGGCGTTTCACAAACTATTTGCCCAGCCTGTCCCTCCCAAGTGAAAGCTGGCACACCCCACACCCCCCTTTCCTCCCAGCATAATTAGCATGTTCCAGTGCTGTGAATGGAAACAATATCCTCCCTCCAAGCTGTGCCCCTCCAGGGAGATGCTTCCCACAGACTGTGAAACACCGAGCCAGGGAAAAGGCTTGTCGAGGAATTCACAGTGGGGTAATTACAGTGGTAGCTTGTGCCAGTGCAGGAGAAGTTGCATTACTGTAATTCATTGCAGGACGCAGGAACTTGCATAAAGGAAATGTCCAGAAGCAGGACTGGAGGGAGCCATGAGAAGTTATTGCCGCTGTGCGCCTTCCTCAAGCCCTGATAAAACCCGATGTTGAAGCTGAGGATGGTTCTTTGGGCTCTAAGGACGTTTCAGTCTTTGAAGGAGTTTACAGAAAGGAGCAATGATTATATGTGATTGTGGTTTCTCTTTGGCAATTACAGGTGAAATAAGTCTAAAAGGGTGACTTCAGATTTTAAATCAAGTTCTTCATTGTGAATAGAAAACTGGAGCAAAGCTGGCAAGAACTGCATGCTTCGATTTGTTATCACCCATGTTCATGGCACTTAAAGCATGCTGGCACGTCTCGCTAACAAATGAAAGGGTGGCATATGATCCTTTCCCCCAAAGAATTGCTGTTTAGTTTTACATATAACAGAGAGACCAATGATAGCTAATACCAAAGGAGAAGACGCAGGAGGAAGAACTGGAGTTGGATGACGCCCACTATCCCCGGAAGTACACACATCTGGTGGGTTTCAACCCTTTTATTTAAATCAGATTCCAGGTGACTAAACCTGATGTAAAAAGAAACCAAACCACCCTCCACATGCTACTCATCGTGCCCAGCTGTAAAGCAAAGATTATATTTATCTCCATCACAAAGTACTCAGTTTCAGAAAACATTGGTGTGGTTTGTTGAGGCCCCAGCTGGAAAATACCACAAGAAGTTCAAAGCTGGGTTTCATCCTGTAATTGGATCCTCAAGTTCACAAGTGCAAGAACCAACTGTGCAGGCTGAAAGCGGGACGCTCCCTCTCCCAACAAGAAACTGTCCGCTGCATCAGGCAGAACCAAGCTCTTAAGAACATGGACATTAATCCCATGTGTTACATGCCAATTTAGTATTTGTATTCTCTCTGCTTTGCCAAGCTATTCTTCAGGTCAAGTAGGCATAAAATAATAGACATTGAGTGTAATTCTTCTGGGCAAAAAGTGTTACCTTCTGAAATCTTACCTCAAAACCACTCGGAATGTGTTATTTATTTATTTATGTCATAAACCCTCATTCAGTGTTGAAGGGCCAAAGGATTACAGTTCTGAAATCAAGTTATTTTCCTGTCCTTGACAAAATCTGGCTTTTCAAAATAACACAGAGAGAATCCTTGTTTCAAATTACAATACCAGCTGCAAGGGTTTTCAACTGTGACCATTTAAATGAGATTTTTGGGTTTTTTCCATCTTTGCACTATAGTTTCATTCTCAGTCTTTGTGATCAGTAGCTGTGGTTGAGCAGTTGAGTCTTCTAACAAAGACAAACTGTAATATTGTTCAAACTGCGTCTGATTATTACTGTTGAGCTCTTTCAGTGAGCCACCTTCACTAAGCAAATCGCACTGGGCCCGTTAATAACAGTGTGTTGATGGAATATCGAAGGTTGCTCAGTGAAACCAGACCCAGACATCACCCAAACCCATGGTCTGTATGTTAGGTTACGGTTTGTGATCTTTAATGTGGGGTGATCTTCAAAGTGATTTCTAGCAGGTGAAAGCCCCAAAGGTCAGCAAAGGAATCCCTTGTTGGTTTCTGCTCCCAGAGTAAATCTTGTGAGGTTTTTAGTCTCGGTGGTGATGCTGCTGTCTGCTCAGCATGACATATCACTGTGCTCCCCAAAACGGGGCGCGGGGCAGGACTGAGGCGCGATGGGGTTCACCAGCAGCCACCCAGGGGTTGAGTGGCAGGACCCGGGGTGACCCTCAGACCTTTCTGTCAGTGCCCTGTTGTACAGCATAGCCCACAGACTCCATATGGGGTACCCCACAACCTGAAACCCCTCTGTTCTGGAGGACTACATATCCCAGCATGCAACGCTTCTCCTACAGGCCATGACAGCAGACAGAACTACAGCTCCCAGGGTACAGCGCGCCGCGCTGCCCTCCCCTGTAGCCAGCGAGCCGCCGCGGTGCACGCTGGGAGCTGTAGTCCGACCGGACGTTGGTCACGCACGGTGCCTCCCTCTCGCCGCCGCCGGTCTCACCCCCCTCCCGCCCCGCTCCGCGCTCCTCCCCGCGCCGCCGGGTCTCTCTCCGTAGACGGAAGCCGAGGAGGGACGAGGGAGCTGGCGAGGTTGGAGCGGCACGATGGGGGACTCCAAAGTGAAGGTGGCGGTGCGCGTCCGCCCCATGAACCGGAGAGGTGAGACCCTCCTCCCTCAGCCATCCCCCGCTCCCTTCCCGGAGGGTGTGTGAGGGGGGAGCGGCCTGAAGGACAGCGCGGGGCGGGAGGCCGGGGGTGCCGGTCCCCGCAGGTGTCCGTGGGGGCAGGTGTGCGTGTGTGCCGGAGCGCCTTTAGAGGTGTATGTGTCGGCAGCGGGGAGTGTATGTGTGTATGTGTTTATTTATGTATTATATACGCGTGTGTAGGTGCAGGGAGGTGTATGGGCGAAGCACACGAAGCAGCCACCTTCGCTCCCCTCTCCGACATCGATTTCCTAAACCCTCTCTGGTTTATGGGGCTTTTATCTCCCCCTCTCCTTCCCGGGGTACACCCCTCCCTATACCTCTTGCACCTGCTTTACAGCCGGGCTGTAAGCTGTTACCAGCTGGGAAAGCTCTTCCTCCTTCTTGCTTTCTGGGGTTTGGGGGGAAAATGCCTCTTTCTGTATTTTTTCCTATACTCATTCAGCCCTCAGCTCTGTACTCCCTCTTTTTACTCCTCGATGACTTGAGTGGGACAGAGTTAACCAGGTAACAGAGGCACTATAAGGACAGAAGAAACAAACCCAAGAAAACATGGAAGAGGAAGTGGGAATTGACAAGATTTTTTTTGTTGTTGTTGGGTTGGTGGTTTGGGGTTTTTTTTCTCTCCTTAGTGAAACTTGCCTAAGGGTTATGTTAATCAGACCGTGGTCTGGGCATCTGCCTTAATTAGAAAAACTTGCTCTTGATGATGAGGAAGCAAGTATGAGAAGGCAACTCCAGCCAAGGAATGAGCAGGTGAAGAAGGCAAAAAGCCAAGAAACATGTAGGGTGGCTTTTTCCCCCACATTCTCACACAAGTATGCCAGTAATTCCTTCTGGGGAAAGGGAGTCCAATAAAGTCAGTTTAATAGCTGATGCAAAAAGAGGGGGGGTGTGTGTCTTCTTTATTTTCTGTATGATCTGAACCAAAATTGCTCTTTAATTCGTTTCAATAAATTAGGATAAAAGGTTAGGTGTTGAATAGATTATTTCTGTATCTTTTAAAATAAAAGCAAGGGAGTTCATCAGCACTCTAGAGTCCCACATTCAGAACAGAGGAGATGGAGTTGATGTCCCTACAGTCTGGTGGGTTGGGGCTGTTGAGGAGCTGAAAGATGGTGCCTTGTTTCAGTGACAGACGTAGGCTTTCCTCTTGCTCATGTCCCTTTCCTGCCATAGATCACTTCCTTGGCTGTGACCCAGACATCTGACTGTATAGTGCTCTTTACCCCTGCGATTATACAATGATTCAGGTTGGAAGGGACCTTTGGAGGTTTCTAGTGCAACTCACTGCTGAAAGCAGGTCAGATTAGGTAAGGTTGCCCAGGGCCTCCTTTAGCCAAGACTTGAATCTCCAAGGATGAGCAATGCACCTCTCCCTCCTGGTGTATGTTCTACATATGTTCAGCCTCAAGTCTGTGCCCATGTTAACAGGTCTTCAAGATGTTTCCAGTTAGGGATTGAATTCAGAAACTATATGTGGGGAAGAAGTGGTGGAAATAAAGGGGAAAAATTATGGAAGAGTGTAGATTTAGAGCAGTATGTGTATTTGAACCTTCTTGGGGAATAGCCTAACGCTAAGCTGCATGAATCTGGGAGAATGGGAGAGTGTGTCTTGTTACTGGAGCTGTTTTATACTGCATAAACTTAAAAATGTTATGGACTGGAGAGGGTGACTGTAGCCTGGTTAGTAGGAGGCTTATCCAGGAGTGAGGGACGTTTGAGCTCATCAGAAGAAAGAGGGACCTGAACCCCACGCTCTTTGGCATGTGGCTGGGCAGTCAGGGCGTTCCTCCTCTCTAAGAACCACTTTGCAGCTATTAAGCATCTTGTTATTTTGTGAGTGATACCTAAATCCATGTAAGCCTAGCCTAAAAGATCCATGTCTTTTTCTCCCTGAAACAAAATGTTCTGGAATTGATTGTTTTTGTTAGTTCTAAAGAATCGATACCTCTGTGTATTTCTTATGCTCCTAGAATTTATAGGAAAAAAGTGATATGAAGCCTAGTATCTTTCTTACCTATTTAATGTTAAATTAAAGAATTGTGTAACTGATTTTCTGAGGAGTCATCCAGTTGTAAGACTTCTGTGGTTTTGCTTTTTCAATAGGCTTTGAGGCAGGAGGCAGCTCAAAGGGAGCTCTCTAACATGTACTTTGTTCTAAGTAATATTTGTATGAAGTTCTGGGGCTTTGGACCTGAAGAAAGTATTTGTTTTCTTTGGGATCACGAGTAATGTTCTTTCCTTCCCTCTGCACCGAAGGGCTTAAAATTGCAAATCTATCAGATGGTTATGACTGTTGATATTTAAGCTTTGAAATATTTCTTAGTGTTTACTTGTGGTGGTGGTGGTTGTCTTTAGTGTTTGAATTATGAATTTCTTAAGGCAAGGGTTTATTAGGTTAATAAAAGCAGTTTAACTGTTACTAATTTATGCAGCTCATAAAAGTATAATAGGTTTCTTGCATGCATATTGAAGAGATTTCTCTTCAGTATTTCCAAATAGTTCATTATTCGTAGTATTTGCATTTCAAGGTGATAGTATTGAAGGTCCTGTTTCAGTCTTATGCAAAGTGGTAATCTATTGATTTATAGTACTGATTTTTAGCAGTACAGAGGAAACATTCCTAATTGTCCTTGGGGTTTCTTGGGTTTGGGGTTGTTTGTTTTTTTGTTTTTTTTTTTTGCAACTACATTATTTTTTTGCATCTTGCTTCAAATTAGACCCCAATTCTTCAAACTGTGTGTGGAATCTGTGCTTTTGTAAAACTTCTATGTCAGTACATTGCAGCATCCATCATGTCTGGAGTTGTAGGCTCTGCCAGGTAGCAGAGTGACTTACGGTTCTACATACTTTCTGCTTTGCAAACTGGCATCTCGATTAGCGTGCTATTATGAACGAAATAATTCAGTACTGTTTTGTTAGCTAAGACTTTGTCTTCTGTTTTCTTAGTTTTGTCATTCATTAAAGTGTTCTCTAGTGCACTGCTTTTTTTCTCAGATGGGTTTTTGATAACAATCAGTAGTTCTTTGGCTGTTGCATTGTAGAGTTGCAGTGGATTTCTTTTTATGAATATCATCAATGTTTGAGTTCGCTTAGCAGATATTCATTATATTTCGAGTAAATGCTGTGCAAGGTTCAAGCAATACCATGAAGCAAAGCAAAAGACAGCTGGAGGCTTTTTAATTATGATTTGTCTTACTGAGTATTTTGTTTTCAGGCAATGTTGGTGTACAGGCATCCCAGAAGTACATTTAAGTCCTTGTGTTTCCCTGTGCCTTTGAATCAATTCAGTGCAGTGTTAATTAAAAGACAACATCTTTTATCAGTAATGAAAGAATATGACTTATGCTAAAGGGTCTGGCCAACGACACCTCAAGCCAGTCAAAACTACCACTGCTGTGTTGCTACATCTCACTTGGGTTAATGCTTTGTTGTTTGAACAAGAAAGGCAGGAAGCAAACTGAAAGAATATCATGTGTTTAGTGCTTTGGGTGAATTTCTCAAGGAGCAGTACCTGTGCTGGCACAGAGTTGGGTGGTGGCACTGCACGACTTGGGTCAGGAGTGGTGGCATGGGTGTGCCAGGTTTAAACAGTGAGGGACCACAGCCTGTATTCCACCAATGCTGCTGGATTAAACTGTTCATAGAATTGTGGTGTAAGACCTATAGCTTCCAGTTTAAATAGCTAAATTGACTGTAAATACATTAAGGTATCTATTATGTTAATGTGTATATTCGTGCAGGCTAGTTTCTGTGTTCAGTCACGGATCTTTTTTTGCTTTGATGATAAAGATTCCATCTCCAGTTCTTATAAGGGAGGAATTTTCTTCTGTATCAGTGCAAGCTTCTGATCACCTGCTTAGGGGCTAATTTTGCGTCCTCCTCCTCTTTGGAGAGGCTGCATTTCCAGTCACTTGAAATGTTTTTTTTGTTTTGGGGGAGAAGATGAGGATCGTTCTTGCATTTTTGTTTGTTTGTTGTTTGCTTGTTTTTTTCACTGGAGATTACAACAGAAATAATTTATCTATAAATTGGAATTTGTGGAAGCAGTTTTACAAGATTAATTTTGATATTAGAGTAAATGAAATGGCACCTGTTGTAACCTCATGGCAATATGCAAAACACAAGGATTTTCTTCACCATTATCCTTGTCACCCATGAGTGTCTGGAGTTTTTACTATTCCCTGGTGATTTTTTATAACCTATAAAGTCTTGTTTGTGGTATGAGCAGGATTAGCCCAGAGATACTGCGGTAAATGGATGAAGCATGTAGAGTTAGTGTTTCATCTTGTGTTCCTCAGTCAGGCAACTGTATTTTAAGAACTCCAAGGTGTTACAGGCTTACTCCCCACAGCCAGTCTCTTGAGACTACCAGTCAATCCAACGTGGGTGCCGCAAAGGCAAACAATTCTTGTGCTAATTACATCTTCAGAGCTAGCCTAAAGGGCGGTATGAGATTACCTTGCTGCTCTGGTTTCACTTTGCTCCTCCTTAAGTCAACAGAAGATCAGATAGACACACTGTGAATAGTTCTGCCTTGGTTTTTAGATGGCTGGTGGCAGACCAAACGCTATTGTGTTTCATTCTTGTTAAATCTGAAGCCTGAAACAAATGCAGCAGCACAGAGTTGTGTGTTAAACTTCCTCAGAGCTATTTGCTGCATTTGAAAGTCACCAGGCTGATTTATTTACTTAGTCTCCATGAGCTGAGCATTGTATGCAGCAGCAGGATTGACTGTGCATACAGTTAATGTCCAGATACACGGAGTGCCTTTACTAAAGCTGCTTGGCAAGCTTTTGTTTTGTTTTGTTTTGTTTTTTCAAAAAATGTAACAGCAGAATATAGAATACACTTTTTGTATCATTTGTACAATGTAGCATTAACATGTGAGGAGAACTTGCTTGCATTGAACACGCTTGGGAGTTTGAGTTCACTTGCACATCATGCTGAAGA